ATTCTAAATGGTAAGGTAATGTGGTAAGACTAAATCACTATCACTTGGAATTTAAAAGGCAACTGGGAATGATAGTAAATAAGTAAACAAACATATGATACCATGTAATGATACTTGAAGAGAAAGTAATAGGGATGGGATAGGGTGAGTAAGTGGTTAATTATTTTACATAGAGTGGTCAGAGAAGCCCTCTCTAAGGAGGTTAACATTTGAGTAGACACCTGAATGTTGTGAATGTAGGAACCCTGTGAAGATTTGGGGGAAGAACATTCCCATCAGAGAGAATAATTGTGGTACTACTGCTAATTGATTACATAATAACCACTCCCCATGCTATGCTTATTACTAACATAACCTGAATTTTGCTATTAACAGCAACCTATCCAGTCCAAAATGATGAATCATTGGAAATCCCATTCCCTTTTGCCAAATACTAGTTTTCCCATTCTTCTTCAAAGCTAGAAGTATTCATGTTACATAATTCTAGTCAATGAGACACAAAATCTACTGGGGGGGTGACTGGGTAAATTTTTATTTCTTTGTAGAAATAAAAAGAGGCCAGTACAAAAGAACTTAACTACTCAACCCCCACATTCTTTCACCTGCCTTGATCTATATATGATGCCCAGGACTGAAGCAAACATCTTTTTTTTTTTTTTTTTTTTAAAGATTTTATTTATTTGAGAGAGAGAACGAGAGAGAGAGAGAGAAAGAGAGAGCACATGAGAGGAGGGAGGATCAGAGGAAGAAGCAGACTCCCTGCTGAGCAGGGAGCCCGATGCGGGACTTGATCCTGGAACACCAGGATCATGACCTGAGCCGAAGGCAGTCGCTTAACCAACTGAGCCACCCAGGCACCCTGAAGCAAACATCTTGTGATCATAAGGTGACCAGCATTAGCATGAAAAAGAGGAAAGATAAGAGCCTGTTACTGGGTCCTTGAAGACACTGTTAAGCCATTGAACCAATGACAGAAATCCTGGCCTCATGACTTCATTGATGGGGCTTCAATGGCCTTGCCAGGAAAATGTGGTTTCAAGGTCAAGATCACAAGGGTGTGACTCTAAGATCTCTTGTTCAGATTTCAAAAAGTTTTAAGATAGTGTTTCACAGACCCATTCAGCTAAACAAAAAATATTCTAAGTATCTTAGGATGACTGTTAGGTCCTCTCTGCTGGATAGGAGAGCCTCTAAGATTCTTAAGGATATTGTACTACAGCACCCTGGCTCTCAACCAAAGGTAAATAGCAGTCTGTCTTAAAGATATTCAGGAGTGTAACAGTTGGCTAAGACCATAATCTGATATACAGAAAGCCTACAAAATCTGTAAGATTCATAGCAACTGAGACAGGAACAGAGACAATTTAAATGGAAAGAGGTTTTTGAACTCTCAACTTTCTATGGGAGAAGACATAGGCTGCAAAGCTACTCAGTTACAAATATAAGCTCTTTCCCATGGAAAAAGAAGGTAAAGCCAAGCCCCAAGGGCAGAGGCAAGAGCTTCAAAATTATGGCCCACTCACTGCTGTATGCTTTACTTTCCCCTTTTTCCACCTTTGGAATTTAAGTACCTCCTGTTTTCCTGTTCCTTACTCACCATGTATATAGGACACAGATAATTGGTCTCTTCAATTCACAGGTCTTAAGATTGAAAGGAGCCATACTCAAGAAGCCTCATCCACCTGGATAAATTCTATACTTCAAGCCTAAGCCTGATGTAGTAATAGCATTAGCCAAGGATCTTAGAAGGCGAGTAAGTATAGTTTGCATGTAGGAGGTACATGAATTACTTGTGGGTAGAGATAATTAATGGTGGTTAATCTCCAAATATGGCTCCCAACGAACATCACTTTCTAAGATTCCTGCCCTTATGTAGTCCCCTTCCATACTGAATCAGGGTTGAGCCTGAGACTTGCTTTAACTAACAGAATTCAGTAGAAATGACCCTGTGTTTGTTCCAAGCCTAAGTCATAGGAGGACCTGAAGCTTCTGTTTTTGTGTATTGCAAGCCCCAAGCTGCCACATAAGAAATTTAGCTGCCCTGCAAGAGAGACCACATGAAGAGGCAGCATGGAGAGGGAAAGGGATAATTCCTAAGGTGATACAGGGGTGGTGGTGGGGAGTGGGAAGAGATACATCAAACCAGATGTTCATGTATCCCAACTGAGCCCAGATTTACAGCTTTCCCCATCAAAGTGTAAGACATGTAAGTGAACCTCATGAGTGTTCCAGCCCAGTTGAGCTCCTAGATGATTATGAGCCTCACCAAAATTAAGTGGAGCAAACAACTTCCCACCTGAGCACAATCAACCCATAGAATCATGAGAGATAATAAAATGGTTATTTTAAGCCACTAAGTTTTGGAGTGATTTGTTATACAGCAGTAACTCACTTATCAAATGAAACTGAATATTTGGGAAGTTAGACTCAATAGAGAAATTAAAAGGCAAACTACTAACTATGAAAAAGCAATGTCCACAATAGCCAAACTGTGGAAAGAGGCGAGATGCCCTTCAACAGATGAATGGATAAAGAAGATGTGGTCCATATATACAATGGAATATCACTCAGCCATCAGAAAGGATGAATACCCAACTTTTACATCAACACGGATGGGACTGGAGATTATGCTAAGTGAAATAAGTCAAGCAGAGAAAGTCAATTATCATATGGTTTCACTTATTTGTGGAACATATGGAAGAGCATGGAGGACATTAGGAGAAGGAAGGGGAAAAAGAAGGGGGGGAAATTGGAGGGAGATATGAACCATGAAAGACTCTGGACTCTGAGAAACAAACAGGGTTTTAGAGGAGAGGGGGGTGGGAGGATGGGTTAGCCTGGTGATGGGTATTAAGGAGGGCACGTACTGCATGGAGCACTGGGTGTTATATGAAAGCAATGGATCATGGAACACTACATCAAAAACTAATGATGACTATGGTGACTAACATAATAAAATTTAAATAAATAAATAAAGTGGAACTTAATTAAAAAAAAAAAGAAAAAGTATGTGCCATGAATATACCAATGGTTAATATCCTTATAATGAAAAAGGGCTCACTACCAAACCTCAACATCATCACCAAGTCCTCACCAGAAAACAATGGACAAAGGATACGATCTATCTACTCCTACTAGGGACAATCAAAATAGCTAATAAGTATGAAAAAGTTCTAATCATTCTTTAAAAGATTATTAATATTCAAATACTATTGGTTAGAAGGTAAAGTGGCAAAATCTTTCTGGAGAGCAAATTTGTCAACATGCCATTTCTATGAATATATGAGGGCATAATCATAGATCCAAATAAATAGTTACGTAAAAGGATGTTAATTTCAAACCTAATGTCCAACAATATAGAAAATGTTTAAGGGAATTACTATCTATATTTAAGGATATTCTACACCTTGCAGATTTTTAAGAAAATCAGGTAACATGCTTATAATGTCAAGTTTTGAAAAGCACAATATAAAATTATATATATACACACACACATAAATAATTTAAGTTTTTTAAAATAAATGAAAAATATGGTTATATATAAATAACAAAGCTGAAAGGGAAAAAAATGGTTAAAATTGCAATAGGATTATAACTACTTTTATTTGGTCTTTTATGTGTTTATTTTCTAAATTTTCTATAACTGTATTACTTTCACATTCAGTAAAAATAAGAATGTTATTCTTTATAAGTTACATTGGTGAAGCTACTGATCTAGGTATTTAAGAATAATTCCCCAACTAGGAGCAACTGGGTGGCTAGGTCAGTTAAGTGTCTGCCTTCAGCTCAGGTCATGATCCCTGGGGTCCTGGGATCGAGTCCCGCATCAGGCTCCTTGCTCAGCAGGGATGCTGCTTCTCCCTCTCCCTCTGCCTGCCACTCCCCCTGCTTGTACACACACTCTATCAAATAATTTTAAAAAAAGAATAATTCCCCAACTAGAGATATTTAATAAAATTATCTTTTAGAATTAGAAAGAGAATTTAGAAATGACCTGATATGATCTACCATTCAATAGATGAGGAAATAAGTCTAGAGGTTTAGGTGCCCAAACTTGTTGGAAGTATTTAGAGGCAGAAACTTACTTAGAATTCAGATTGTTTACCCACTGACCAGTACACATTTTTACACTGCTTTATGAGCTACCTATAATAGTGATTCAAATAAGAAGTAAAGATCTAAGTAGAATGCCATTTTGAGAAATGCTTTAACCCTTTGAATTTATATTCAGATCATTCTCATTTTAAACTATAAAATTATTTGTAATAAGAATAATCTGTTATTTCCTTTAACAGTTTTATTAAAAATTTCCACTGAAATAACTTCCCAAGATTTTTAAATTTTCTTTGAATTTACATCTTGCTTTTGTTACGCTTTCAGCTGAATTTTATACCCACCCATGAGACTAGTTTGTACTACGGGTATCTCACATCACTCTGCTTTTCCTTCAAGGGTTTTTTTTTTCCTCCTTACTTGATGAATCTAAGTAGGGTAGGAAATGTTTAGTAGACTTAGACATACTTCCCCTTGGAGACTTTTGAATGCATTTTCAATTTTTTTTTAAATGAATTATTTAGTTTTCCCTAGTTTTATACTTTTTTTTTTTTAAGATTTTATTTATTCATGAGAGACAGAGAGAGAGAGAGAGAGGCAGAGGGAGAAGCAGGCTCCCAAGGAGCAGGGAGCCCAATGCGGGACTCGATCCCAGGACTCTGGGATCATGACCTGAGCCGAAGGCAGGTGCTTAACCATCTGAGCCACCCAGGCGCCCCCTAGTTTTATACTTTTAATATGAGGGCAGCTACCTTTAGTTCAAAGTCTTCCTCTGAATCTTGGCTTTGAGACCTACTTTTTGATTTTGAATCTGGGGAAACTAAGTTTGTGCTCTTCTTTCTAGCTAAGCTTAGATGGTTGCTTTGCCATCTAAGTTCTGCTGGTGATGAATCTAAGATCCTCCTCTTTATTTTACCTGGATATATATAGCTAGTTTTCAGCTTTACCTCTGATGGAGATGAGTCTGTTTTTAAAACGCTGGGATATCTATCTTTCAATTTTACTTCTGGTGGAAAGAACATATTTTTCATTTTTCCCTCTGGCACAGCTTTTGATTGGTATTCCTCTAAAGGTGATGTTTTGTTCTCCTCTGTTATTGTCAGGATAGGAATAACAGGCAATGGAGTTTGCTTTGTTGATTCATCTATTTGCTTTGTTGACTCATCTGTTTGCTTTGTTGACTCATCACTTTCAGGAGCAACAGCATCTGAATTATCTTGATTTGACTGGTTCAGAGTTGGTAGAGTCATACTTCTCTTATCATCATTATCCCGCAACTAGAAAATATATGAATAAAAGCAAACTACCAATTAATCATTACTGACTAGAAAATATTTAAAATAAAATTGGAATTAAAAACCCTTATGTTATCATAAAAAGTGACCATCAATATCTGTCAATTATTACATTCCTTATTAAAAGAGTTAAACTCTCTATTTGCCTGAAACCATGGACTACAGAATATTATTCATTAAAATGAATATTCATTATTCATTATTCATGATCACACTGCTTTATTTTTTTTTTAAAGATTTTATTCATTTATTTGACACACAGAGAGAGAGAGCACAAGCAGGAGGAGCGGCAGGCAGAGGGAGAGGGAGAAGCAGACTCCCACTGAGCAGGGAGCCTGACGCGGGACTTGATCCCAGGACCCCGGGATCGTGACCTGAGCCAAAGGCAGATGCTTAACCAACTGAGCCACCCAGGCGCCCCAATCACACTGCTTTATAAAGCAGTGGTTCTCATATATTCAGATTTTATAAATCAGCAACATCTTAAAGAAAATTGAGGGGTCCAACATTTTGCTGTTATTATGCTACACCAATATATCATAATAAAGGAAATTTTAGGGATACCTGGGTGGCTCAGTCAGTTGAGTTTCCGACTCTTGATTTCAGCTTAGGTCATGATCATGGAGTCATGGGATTGAGCCCCATGTCAAGCTCTGTGCTCAGCTGGGGATCTGCTTGAGATTCTCTCTCACGCTCTTGCTCTCGCTCTCTGTCCCTCCCCCACCATGCACTCAAATGCATGCTCCCTAAATCTTTTTAAAAAAATAAAAATAATGGAATTTCTAATAGCAAAATAGCACAAAAAATATCATAAAATCAAATATTATGTGAACTCTATTTTTTTTGCTTCTATTTTAAATATAGATTATAAATCCACAGAGAAAGTAAAGAATGTGGTAAAGTCTGTGGCTTCCATTTCCAAGATTATTTTGCAGAATTTTATGCTTTTATTTTTACTTGTTGCCCCCTTTCTCTTCATCAACATCTTTTGTCCCCTATCTTTGTATGTATTTTTAAATATTACCATTTTATGCTGTAATTTCCCTTTTAAGAGTGTAATTTAACTTAAATAAATAATGTAATTGTATAGATATTGCCACAATAGAAGTAACCATAAAAACCTGAATAACTTCTTGGGTGCTTATTTTTCCATCTATAAATACTTCTCTATTTATAAATGTTTCATCCCCTTATAAAATAGTGACTATTAGAAGTTCTCTTCCAAGTTCCCTTACCTCACTTGGAACAGTTTCAGCTTCCTCCATTATAAAAGGGACATCTGTTAATAAATTAATAGAAGTATTTTATTATATTACATTATAAAATAAACACATTTATACATAGGTACACTAATAAAATACTATTTTAATTTTTCTCACCAAGAATAAAGAACAATAAAGGAGCTATTCAAACATAAATACTATTTAGTAAAAACAGGCTGATGAATCTCTGGGAAGATGGGGGAGTGGTAAATTGAAAAAGTGTGGAGATAAAATGAAAAATGCATTAAGTGGTAAGATTTCAGATCCATCAGTGTAGGACATAAAAAGAGATATACAGTATATTTTTCTACAAGTCAAGAGGAAATAAAATAAATCCAGATGAGCAGTGATAGAGTTGGGATTGGAAAAAAGAGACTGGAATAAAGTTGCATGTAACTAGAGAAAGTAGGACCATTTAAAAGAGGCTGATTGAGATGTAGTGAAAAGAAGGGTCATATGCACTCCAATGTTCAGAGCAGCAATGTCCGCAATAGCCAAACTGTGGAAAGAGCCGAGATGCCCTTCAACAGATGAACAGATAAAAAAGATGGGGTCCATATATACAATGGAATATTACTCAGCTATCAGAAGGGATGAATACCCAACTTTTACATCAACATGGACGAAACTGGAGGAGATTATGCTAAGTGAAATAAGTCAAGCAGAGAAAGTCAATTATCATATGGTTTCACTTATTTGTGGAACATAAGGAAGAGCATGGAGGACATTAGGAGAAGGAAGGGGAAAAAGAAGGGGGGGAAATTGGAGGGAGATATGAACCATGAAAGACTCTGGACTCTGAGAAACAAACAGGGTTTTAGAGGAGAGGGGGGTGGGAGGATGGGTTAGCCTGGTGATGGGTATTAAGGAGGGCACGTACTGCATGGAGCACTGGGTGTTATATGAAAGCAATGGATCATGGAACACTACATCAAAAACTAATGATGACTATGGTGACTAACATAATAAAATTTAAATAAATAAATAAAGTGGAACTTAATTAAAAAAAAAAAGAAAAAGTATGTGCCATGAATATACCAATGGTTAATATCCTTATAATGAAAAAGGGCTCACTACCAAACCTCAACATCATCACCAAGTCCTCACCAGAAAACAATGGACAAAGGATACGATCTATCTACTCCTACTAGGGACAATCAAAATAGCTAATAAGTATGAAAAAGTTCTAATCATTCTTTAAAAGATTATTAATATTCAAATACTATTGGTTAGAAGGTAAAGTGGCAAAATCTTTCTGGAGAGCAAATTTGTCAACATGCCATTTCTATGAATATATGAGGGCATAATCATAGATCCAAATAAATAGTTACGTAAAAGGATGTTAATTTCAAACCTAATGTCCAACAATATAGAAAATGTTTAAGGGAATTACTATCTATATTTAAGGATATTCTACACCTTGCAGATTTTTAAGAAAATCAGGTAACATGCTTATAATGTCAAGTTTTGAAAAGCACAATATAAAATTATATATATACACACACACATAAATAATTTAAGTTTTTTAAAATAAATGAAAAATATGGTTATATATAAATAACAAAGCTGAAAGGGAAAAAAATGGTTAAAATTGCAATAGGATTATAACTACTTTTATTTGGTCTTTTATGTGTTTATTTTCTAAATTTTCTATAACTGTATTACTTTCACATTCAGTAAAAATAAGAATGTTATTCTTTATAAGTTACATTGGTGAAGCTACTGATCTAGGTATTTAAGAATAATTCCCCAACTAGGAGCAACTGGGTGGCTAGGTCAGTTAAGTGTCTGCCTTCAGCTCAGGTCATGATCCCTGGGGTCCTGGGATCGAGTCCCGCATCAGGCTCCTTGCTCAGCAGGGATGCTGCTTCTCCCTCTCCCTCTGCCTGCCACTCCCCCTGCTTGTACACACACTCTATCAAATAATTTTAAAAAAAGAATAATTCCCCAACTAGAGATATTTAATAAAATTATCTTTTAGAATTAGAAAGAGAATTTAGAAATGACCTGATATGATCTACCATTCAATAGATGAGGAAATAAGTCTAGAGGTTTAGGTGCCCAAACTTGTTGGAAGTATTTAGAGGCAGAAACTTACTTAGAATTCAGATTGTTTACCCACTGACCAGTACACATTTTTACACTGCTTTATGAGCTACCTATAATAGTGATTCAAATAAGAAGTAAAGATCTAAGTAGAATGCCATTTTGAGAAATGCTTTAACCCTTTGAATTTATATTCAGATCATTCTCATTTTAAACTATAAAATTATTTGTAATAAGAATAATCTGTTATTTCCTTTAACAGTTTTATTAAAAATTTCCACTGAAATAACTTCCCAAGATTTTTAAATTTTCTTTGAATTTACATCTTGCTTTTGTTACGCTTTCAGCTGAATTTTATACCCACCCATGAGACTAGTTTGTACTACGGGTATCTCACATCACTCTGCTTTTCCTTCAAGGGTTTTTTTTTTCCTCCTTACTTGATGAATCTAAGTAGGGTAGGAAATGTTTAGTAGACTTAGACATACTTCCCCTTGGAGACTTTTGAATGCATTTTCAATTTTTTTTTAAATGAATTATTTAGTTTTCCCTAGTTTTATACTTTTTTTTTTTTAAGATTTTATTTATTCATGAGAGACAGAGAGAGAGAGAGAGAGGCAGAGGGAGAAGCAGGCTCCCAAGGAGCAGGGAGCCCAATGCGGGACTCGA